GGACTGTAAGCCTATTCGAAACACTTTGCGATTTACAAGGCTTCGCTGAGAGAGCAAAACAGAAGGCGGTATTAAATTGCCGTTTGAAACGAAACGATCTGGACTCGGAACGCTCTCTTCTTTTGTAGAGTTCTTTACCAAATGAAATAAATGAAATAAATTTCGTACTTTCCGCCGCCAACAAGAATTGCACACACGATCTGATAAGTGAGACAATTTATTTATAACAATGCCAATGGCGACAGAGAAGCACACATATAATATAAATCCTAATGTGGTCGCACGACTTCCCTCATGATTTGAAGTTTGAGACTGGTTTTCTGTTGAAATTCGTCCTAATTTGCCTGTTCCGATTTTAGTTGAAAATGAGCACTTGCAAATTTGGCAATTACTGACTGCGTTGCTTGCTTTTTTGGAGTTAAAACGCAGCCATTTACACATTGTTTATTAGTGTTCTGAATAAGGAGAGAAAACCCCGCAAGTTTTAATGCGAGTTTGTTTGTTAATATTTGGGTGCTGTCATTGGTTCTTTTTTGACAATTGACACGCGAATGGGGCGTGTTATGAAAAGGGGCGTTTTACAAAATACCGGGCGATGGTTGCAGGCCCACTATCAGTTCCCTTGGGCCTGCACGCAGGCTAGGCGGAGGTGAGACCCTGTGAAACAGGTTACTATAAACTGTAATATTTTGTCTAATTTCAAAATTTGTAAAATTTAATTTTTGAATTAACCTGAATTATCTAGTTGTAATTTCTTACTAATCCGCCCCTGCAAATAAGAATGATTCAATTACACCGGGAACTGCTGACTCTTTAATTTTGTCCTCAAAAGCAAAAACTGTATATATTTTATGTCATCGATGAAGAAAATAAAACGTAGTGCTCCGAAGACAGAGCCTTGTTGAATTCAATAAGAATTAGATTTTCCTTATTATGTAAATAACGAGGACGACTCTATGGTTGTTCTTAATATTTCATATAATGCTGAATTTCTGAATAAGAATACCATGTCCATGCAGAAATGGTGTTTTGCATTTGTATACATTGATGCCCTTCATTTCTAAATTTTCGTTCTGTTCCAGGTTCAGTGACGTGTCGTGGAAATATGGTAGAGAATGCCAACTGTCCTAAAGATCAGTACATGGTGGTCAAGACTGCATCTTACCGTGGATTGTCTGGCACACGGACATGTGGTTTGAGTGATGATTATATTTGTGAAGTCAATGTAACATGTCTTTTTAAGAAACAATGTGATGGTCAACATGAGTGTAATGTGACTGTGGATGACAAGTTGGTCTCTGGTAATCTATGTCCTGGATTGACAAAATATCTCTACTTTGAGTATCGATGTAATAATACAGCGACGTCTTTTAATGAACTTTGTGGTATGTATATAAGCATGGCTAATGACAATAGAGAGGTTCAGTTTTGACTTCCAATACTGCTACATGTCAGTGGCCAATTGATTCGTGTAGATTAAACGTATCTGATTAGTTAATGGTAACGGTAGTGGAGATCAAATCTGAACCTTTCTATTGCAAATGCGATGATAATCATGCCACTCTTTGGTATAAATCAATTTGGATAGATTCAGTTATTTTACTTAAAAGACTCGCAGTCTAGGCTTGCACGTCGGCAGTTCGATTCAACTTATTTACATGCATTCCAAATAATAAAATCATTCTTTAATCCATTTGTCTTAAAATTAGGAATTTGAAACATTCTTCTTCCTCGCAGACCTATTTCTGAAGAGTTCACTGGCGGCAATAAGTCATGTAGTTTGTTCTCAGGATCGTTGACTATGTTTTTAAAAAGTTTATTAGTTAAGTTCTGTCTTCTTGGCAGTTTTTGCGGCAAAGCTAGTGAGACGCAGTCGATCCAGGGTTTTATTATACCGATGATTTGGTAATATTATTCTAAAGGTCGTCGGATAGGTATTTTGGGAGAGAGTTCGTCATTGATAATAATGGGATCGAAATCAATCTTTGTACATTCTTTTAACTGTATGCCGTTGATTGTGGACTTCAAAGCGAATTCGTTGACATAGAGGCTGTTCATATGGTCCCACTTAACTGGGATTCAATGAAGTGTGACGTATTTTGGGCAATTGAATATAATATAATCTAACAAAATTGCTTGTTACAAATTGTATGAAATTCCATGTTTTAGGAAAAAACCCCAATTTTTCCGTTCAATTTATGGTACTGGATTTGGAAGTTGTTTTTTGTTTTGCCTGTCCCGCCAACCTTTCGATCCTTTTCGAATTTTTTTACTTTCCGCATTAACAGCATTAACTTGATTTCCACGAATTAACTTGTTAATTTTCTCTAGGGTTGCGGGACATGACAGTCACGATAAGAGGAGTTGAAAATTTCTTTGACCGGAAGTACGAGAAGATCCGCGTTCTCCTTCAACACACAAGTCGGTGTACCATCGGGGCTGTGAGCTTTCTTGGGGTTCAGCGTAGAGATTTGTTCAAATACGTCCCCTGTAGTGACCGTGATAGTGGGTTCTTCATTTGTTATTACGGAGAACAAATCGCGATAGCGGTCCGAAGTCAAGGTTGTAAATTCAGCCAATGGAGACCAGAAGGTGTCATTAATCTCATTCGCTAGGTCAAACGTTTTAGATTCGGCATGATGGTCCCCAGGTCTTAATGCCTTCAGAATTTCGTCACTATTTCTGCCTACAGATTTCATTCCACTAAGTTCTCTTACTTCGCCCCACCAGGAAGATGGTTTACAATTCTTGATATGTCGTACACTATTCTCGTAGTATTTTGCCCGACAGATTTTTCTATCGCGGTTTACTTTATTTCTAAGCAATTTAAATAGGGAAATATTCCCTTAGTGCGGAGCTTTCTGGCGTTTCTTAATCAACGTAGTTAATTTTGAGGTGATCCAGAATGGCTCGGTATTCCGACCTATACTAGTGTGCGAAAGAACAAAGCTTGCCACCGTAGGTACGGAAAATCGTAACAAAGAAAAGAGATCTGCGACCAAGCTTTCATCTTGCATTTCGTAAATACTTAGAACTCTTGGATATTCCAAATTTTTTGACCAGTAGTCTTTCTGCGCCGAAAAAAACCCACTTAGAAACCATTGTAACAACCGGCCTGTACAACATTATTCTATTACGACACAAGTGGTCAGAGAGTCCAAAGGGCGCATACCTTGAAGGTTGGTCGTAAAATTCGTGAACGTTTGTCAGGACAAGGTCAAGGGTATTTCTGCCTCTCGTAGGGAAGTTAATAATTTGGCGGAAATTATAGTTGTGAATTAATCTTGAAATGTTCAGTCTGTTGAAGTCGCCCAGGATTATCAAACCGCAACTAGGGAAACGTGATTCCAACTTTGACGGGCAAGATGATAAATAATCTAACATTGCTGGACCATCCGCAAGCTAGGGGATGATAAACAGTTCCAACAACTAAATTGTTAAATCCCTTGGTAATCTGGACATGCGAAAATTAATCCACAATACTTCAAACTGATCGTTATTGAGGTCATTTATTGACTCGTAATTCATCAGATCATTTATGTAAATACAGACACCACCATGTTGACCATTAGTTCTGTCTCTACGGATGGTAACCCTGCATATTAATTACAGTATCTTGGATTTGACTTCGTAACCAAGTCTCAACAAAACTAACAAATTGAAGGTTTCCACGACAAACAACATCTCTCACTTCGTCAATTTTCGGCGCAAGTGACATAGCAGATTTGGATGTTCTACATGTTTTATTCTTTGAAGGGGCAGTAGGGATTTCAATAAGGTTACATCGGCTCCTTCTTATCGTGTTATCTGGGCCCGTACTCAAACTAACGTCTCTAGGGTGGGACCTGAATTCGTTAGGGGCCAAGTTTGACGAAAAAAATTTCCTAAATTTGTAATTTAAATTTCTTCGAATTGATCTTGGCTGATTTCGTGTGGATTCACGTGTGGTGATACGGACGGGAATAGATTGACGATGAGCATTACTAGCGTAGGCTTGTGATTTTGGAATTGAGGCCAATGGTACACTGCCAATCCATTCAGGTATTGACTTAGTGTTCTGAGTAGGCGTTTGTATACTATTTGCTCTGAGATGTAGGTTTTAAAGCTGATTTAGTTGAGCGAGGCGAGATTGATGCATACTTTGTTGTCCCACAGATCGGAATTTTAATTAAATTATCTATTGTTTGAAACAAAAATGTAAACAAAACACGCACATGAGCTATCAGGACGGACTTGACAGCCTCTTTAAGTTTTAAAACATCGCCGAAAAAACAAACTTTTTGTCGAAATTCACGGGCTACCATGCAAGCCAAACAAACTGGGAAGAATTGACGAACATTTTTCATGTTTTGTTTTTGTAGTTGATGCTGTGTATTTATCAAAGTCATCTCTACCAAATGAAGGTTTTGCAAAAATTAAAACTGACAGTGGAATCAAGAATGTTTGTTGGCAAAGTTTAGGAAACGCAAAGGATGTTGTTTGTC